AAACAGTTTAATAACTAAGGGAAAGCATATATGGAACCTCACAGATATTACCCCAGACTATAGGGTATTATTAGTAAACTTCCTTAGGATACACTGTTCTTAAGACTGAAAGCACGCATGACTGAATGATAATACTGCAGATTCATGAATATGGAGGATAATTTGTGCAGTAAATAATTATCTTGATATTGGACATTTTTAATGAAGGCCTGTTACTTCCAAGAAGTGTTAGTTATAGGTGAATGGTAATTATGATAGATGTGATAAGGTGTTCAAACTGTGCACTCAAGTCTCAAATGCATTTCTCAAGACATGATATAAAAGGGCACAATTTTCCTTGCAGCAAGCATTACGAGCATCTCGATGTGGAGATGCAGAATCAGACACAGATGAAAATGAAGATGAGGAAGATGATGACGATGATGATGAAGAGGACGAGGAAGAGGAACAGAATCAGGCCGGTCAGTGTCATGGATCACTGTGGCAGTTGAGAGTTTGAGGCTGGACCTTGGTTTTAATAAGACCAGTGCTATGGAGCAGTTCTTGAAATGAGATCAGTTGCATGGCCAGTCAAGATATTCCATGCATTTTGTGAAGGATGAAAGTCATTACCATGTTCACAAAAGTCTGCTTGAGCCAGATGAAATCCAGTCCTCACCTTCAGACACCATTTCTTAAAGATTCATTATAATATTGTCATGTGATTAAGTGACTATAGGCAGGATTTGGATTGGCAATTAGATTTATTGCACATGTACACAACTTGTGACTACAAGTAACGATTAGCTCTCACTGTTCCGCACACTTCACAGTTCACTATCGGACACACTAGGTCTTCTCACTCTGTCATAGTCTTCACTAGCCATTGCTCAGTAGTGGCTTTCATTGGTGGACTTTTGCCCTTCCTCTGGATTTCTCAATTGTCCCCGGCTTAAGCTACCAGCTTCTCGAAGCAACAGCTCACAACAACTGAACCCCAGCAGTTATCTAAATCACTCACTGACTTGTCCTGCTTATAATATCACAAACTGCACAGAAAACACCATTCCTCTCTTGCTGTGCAGTTCTTACGTTTGTTTCTGTTGGTGTGCCCACGTGATCCCTACTCTGCCATTGCTGCAGGCCATTACTTAGGAACAGCTATTGTATAGTTGCTTATTTCATGGTTGTTGCCTAGCAAGAGGTCTACATGCCAAAGTATCACCCCATTATCTTCATTGAGCCTGGTGTATGAGAACCACAGGCTTTCCAAGATCCAAATCTAATATCCATTTGCTCGGAACATTTCAGCGAATCTTGCCATGTCAGATCCCTGTGTAACGTTGTGTACACTGTGACTCAAGCTACAGATCAGCTGTGAACATGGTAGCGAACCTTCGCATACCATGAAATCAACCAGTAGCTTTTCAAGAAAGGCTGTCCTCTGCTGTATTAGTCAGTCTGGCAGTTATTTATAGATAATGTTTGGATGAAATGTAGCTGTTTGGACAGAAAACCATTAACTGTGATGAAATTGTGTTAAAATGTAGCGAACTGTCATGTTCTGATGACAGAAGAAGGCCAAGGAATGTGAGTATTCTGTTAATTTCAAATATGTTTTACAAAGGGGATCCAAACAGAGACAGACCCCACACTTATGAACAGCTGTATAACATGAACCACTGTTTCTCACAGATGCAGTGGTATAGTTGAGGGTTAGTTCCTGAGTGACCGAAAATGACAAAAAATGAAAGTCACAAATTTTATTTCCTGCACCAAAACATGCACTGGAAGCAAATAGGATTCTGCTATGACCATTGGAGACCCTGTTATGTTATAAAAATATGAATTAATATTATAAAAGAAGACAGCAGAATCTTGTACCAGGTGCACATCAGAGCATAGCGTAAGGCAAACTAACTGACACGGCAGCATTGGTTCTTTGTGTCCATTTTTATTTTCATTTGTTTTATAAGGGATTCTGTATAAGCAGATTCACACATGACTGAGAAACTAAGGTTATGCACTGAGTGACTGTTCACTCTCTATTAATGAGGCACACTTGCTGTTTAGAAGAAAGTGTTTGCTTTAAAACAAAGCAATTCAGAGCTAGTCATTGAGTATCACCCAGTATGTGAGGACAAGAGTTATGAGTTCTGATGTTCCAAATAAGAGTCTTTTGGTTGAGATGCTGTCTAGTCTGGTAGATAGGGAAAAGTAAGTAAAAAAATAAAGCTATCCTTGTAGCAGGCTGTGAAGGCCCATAGGGTTGCGAGACGTTGAGGGTCCCACATTATCTAGACAATTGGCTCAAAGATGGCAGTAAGGTCGTCAGCCTTATGCACCGGCTGCGCATTACTCCTCAGGAAAATTATTTAATTACTGTAATTCCTGGTACTCATTTCTGTTAGAGGCTGATTTGAACCCAAGGCCATAGTAGGGCCGGAAGGATTGAAAAAAATCCAATGACCTCATCGGGACTTGAACCCGCAACCTTCCGGCTTGTAACATAGTGCCTCAACCAACTACTCTACCGCTAGGTACCACCATTTTTTAGGAATTGTCTGCTTCCATCTTCTCTATAGTATGATGTGTATTTATGCTAACCGTCTTTCAGTGCACACTTTTTATTTAATTTCACCTTTCTCTTCACTTTTACACTACATGTTTCAGCACTAATGTGCCATCTTCAGGTGTGTGTCTGCACGTCAAAGTACTGCACTGCATGCCATGACGTCTTCATTCTAAAATGACTAAAATGTGTATTCGTCGTGTATAACGATAAATTCTAAATATTAAAACCTTTCAGGATTCGTCATCCATATGTCGTATCTCAAATATGCGAATCACGCCAATCCTCCTCTATGGGAGCACTCTTCCTACATTCATGTGTGTATTGTGCTTTGTGTTGTGTCTGGCTCCTGTGACTGCATGCATTGTACTGCAGTACACATCATGGACATGAACCAGTGCAACAGGATGCTAAAATATAACATTCTCTATAGCAGAAGTTTAAAATGGAGGCCACAGGCCCCTCATGTCTACTAAGACTACATTATGGTGGCATGTTCCAGAAGAAGGCAGACTTATTGTCCCTGAATTTGTGTGACGTCCAGTTAAACTGAATCCCAATTCTTTACACATAACTTCTGAATCATGTAATTATGTGGTCCAGCTTACATATACTCATGAGTGTTGCCAACTGCTGTACAGATATGTGACTGTCTGCACCATGTGTACTGCCAGCATGCATAATTCTGGTAATAAAGGCCTCATCATCACAGTTGTACATACTGGATGATGCGTGTTATAGGAGGCTTATACTATAGCGTTGAGGAACTTACTGACTCACAATTATCATTTCAGCTGATGGAGACCCACTGTTATTGTTTGTTACAGATGTTGACGATACAAACGTCAGCAAGGGTAAACTTGAACGTGAAGCAGTATGTGGTCTGCTGAGCCTGTCAGAGTCTACACGTGTCAGTTCATCGTCAAGCCATTATGTCTCTGCTGGTCTGATTCCGCCCTCTTCACGCTGTGGACGCCCCAGTACTTATCCCTACAGCTTGACCCTGCTCATACCTGGACCCAACTGTCATGGAAGTTCTTTCAACGCGCCACAAACGCCAACTCTAACAGCAATCAGTGCTCAGACAGAGCGAGAGAAGGTCTCCAGAAACACAGGATTAGCCCTGGAGTTGCGTAATGGGGGGGAAGGAAAGTTAAAAGAAGAAGAAGGGCGTATGTCCAGTATGATCCGTCGAAGGGGTAATGCAGCTGCATTGCTTCTGATTCCACCACAGCAAGGAGACACCAACAGGTATTACTTCCCATCGTGCCGGACACCGACTGTACCAGTAGCAATGTTTAGCAAAAGTCTGACAGCAGACAAATCATCAGTAGATGGTGAGTCGGATTCAGACTATGATCGGGATAACTCAAGTGCAGTGCACACAGATGATGAAGACAGCGAGCAGAGTGACAGTTCACTGAGAGACAAACCCCTTTTGGAAATACTTGTAAATGAGATAGAAGCACTGGAAGGTAATTCATCAGGCATCCTTCTGCCAATGGATCTGAGTAGTAAAACTCCAGTAACTGCAAGTGCAAAGAAAACAGCGACACTAATGCCGTACATCCCTCCTCTGTCAACAAATGGGGCCAGGACTCCTACAACCCCAATTTCCGAGATACTGACACCCGTATCAGAACCCGCGATTCTTCTAGCTTCGTTGTGCAGCTCAGTGGAACGCTTTCCAGTTTCTAATACAATGCTCGTGCACAAACATCCTGACCCAGCAGAAACCACAATGCTTCAAGCTTACCTTACAGAACGTGCATTGCAAGATGTACGCATGAAGCAGCATCAGTTCCATCACCATGGTTACATTACAACAACCTGCACTACAGTATCATCAACATCCACTGCATCAATGCCAGTGCAAGAAGTGACTGTTGTAACAAAATCCTCAGTAGACAACACTGTCCCCAAAGAAAATGCCCAGGCCGTACCCATCAAGATACAAAGACCTGCAGCTGAAGTGCTCAGTGCACAAATCACAGATGCTGAGTCTGACACGTCAGAGAAGCCAAGTATTCAGGAGCCTTCTGAACAAGTAAATGGCTACAAACCTCAAACATCAAGTGGTGATGCTGAAAATGAAGTGAATTCAGTTTCATGTGAAAAAACTAAGAGCAAGGAAGGTACTTTACTGAAGATACAAAATTCCACTCTTTTAGAGAAGAAGATGAGTCTGGTACCAATGGGCAGTAACAATATTGTAAGAAATGTTGTGGTTGGTGGGTATTCATTCAGTGGGCACCAGCCTTCTTCACCTCCAACCTCATCAACAAGTGGAGCGAGTGTCACTAAAACTTCATCTCCAACAAAGCCCAAAGCTGAATTTTTACCTCCTTCAAGTGGACCATCACCAAGTTATGTGAGGTAATATTATTTCTTCTTACTTACTCATTTGGTTTTTCACTTTTATTCTATTCTATTCTGTTCTTTTCTTTATATATTGGGTTAATTATAAAAGCTGATCTATTCCTTACAAAGTGAATGTTTTGCTTAACATCTGTTGTCATCTGTTTCAGCATGACAGACGATGGGCGTAGCATCTGTGTCATCTGTAATAAAATCTTCTCCAAGCCAAGCCAGCTCCGTCTTCATGTCAACATTCATTACTTTGAACGGCCATTCCGCTGTGAGTCTTGTGCAGTGTCTTTCCGCACCAAGGGACATCTTCAGAAACATGAACGCTCTGTTAGTCACCAGAACAAAGTATGATAGTAAATTATTTTTTAAATTAATTTTTGACAAGTGACTTATGTGATAGTTCTGTTCTAGAAACATACCATATAATATGAAAATATGTAAGTCAAAGATGTTTTCCGTGTACATTCAGTATGACAAATGCTAGATGTTACATGTTTTGTACAGGTACTCCTTGACTGTTTTGTGTTAATGTTTCAAATGAAGTTTTAATTGGCCTAGTGAAAAGTAGAAAGTAATGGAATTGTTGGTTTAAAACAAATCACAATTTTTAAACAGCTAAAACGAATGGTATTAAACTTAAATGAGTTATGTGCTTTCAAGTTACATGATAATTTTTATGGACAAAGCTATCACATAAGCCTGGGTTTACAGCTGTGTGAAACGCCTACTCATTTTAAATTGTATCTTTAATGCTAATCTGTTTTGTAGGTGAATATGAATTCAACATTTGGTACCCCAACTACTACAAATCCACGTCCATTCAAATGTGATGATTGTAAGATTGCTTTCCGTATCCATGGACATCTGGCAAAGCATCTGCGATCCAAAATGCATATCATGAAGCTTGAATGTGTTGGGAAACTTCCTTTTGGTACATACGCTGAAATGGAGCGCGAAGGCATCAGTCTCAATGAAATTGATACCACAGACTGTGACAACTCACTGGAGAGTCTTCAGGTAGAATACTTGTGGCAATGTGTTTCACTGAACTGTTATTGCAGCTCCTGTCAACAGTGAAAAAACAAAACCAGTGAAGTCCCTGACAAGCACACAGCTTAGTGCCTGTCCACCTGTGCCAACTGGTCTCCTTGCACCAGCAGACACATATAACTAATATGACAGATGAACTATGGGGTAGATTTTGTTGAAATTTCCAGTGCTTATTTGGCACTATGTATAGTAGTGCCTGAAAGAGCTATATCTTATACACTTTCTTGTGTATAGAGAAATCTTTTCTCCTAGCCACTGTATGCTCAAGAAAGTAAAGCCACATATCTTCCGTGAATTGTTTCTTTTTCCTTATTCACGTTTAACTTACTGAGATAGTATTTGGCTTGTAATGAAGCCTTCTGCATCAGCTGTCCATTGAGCCTTTAGGTATTGATATCTAGGGACTCCAGAAATGCTACAAGCCAGGTCACGGGTTTGATTCCTGATGAGGTCATTAGATTTTCCAATTGACTTGATCCTTCCAGCCACACTATGGCTGTGGGGTAAAGGGCAGCCAGCGCATAAGGCTGACAACCATATCACCTTGTACTCGTATGAACTGATTGTCTAGAAAATGTGGGAGCCTCAGTGTTTCACAACCCCATGGGCCTCCATGGCCTGTTACAGGGATGGCTTTACTGTACATTTTACTCATTCATCACATGTGAATTAATGGAGGTTTGCAATAAGCAACACAGCTGTCTTCCAGCAGTCAGTGAGGGACCTGGGCCACATGCTGACCTGCCATGATTCATTCCATAGTCTCTTCAAAGGTCTTCTCTCATTTCTGAATCCATATGAATTGTAATATATATTATTGGAAGTAATTCTTTGCATTTTGTTGACATGTTGAATCCACTTGTTTTATAAGTCCTAGTTCTTTTCATGGCCAATCTCTCAAAGTATATTTCATCACTGATCTCAGAAATTTAATTTCATCAGCTGTTACTGAGGCTTAGTGCTTCACTTTCATTATCCAACATGCGCTGTCATGCAAAAGTGTCAGCTGTGAGCATAAACTGTCTCAAGAAGCACATTGTGAGATGACTAGAGTTGAGTGCATTCTCTTAGTCTTAGTATTTCATTACCTGGCTCTCTAATAATGTGTAATTTTGGATTTTAGGGTTTAGCAATGTTGTATGTTGAAGCTGTTTCAATGTTTCAACATTAAATACAGTTGCCATGTTCAAGGTGAGTGAGATGGAAGCAGAATGTGGCCCAAAGAGTGGGGGGAAGGGTGGCGATGCAGAGCACAGTGCTATCCAGTGTGGGAAGGGAAGGAAGATGTTTTGAGGAAAAAGTGTGGGATCAGGGTTTACACACATTGTTTCTCTCATCATGGTTAAAGTTGTGGGGGTGCCCAGCTTCTGATGATTTGCCTTGTTGATATGGGGATGGTAAGTGGGGCCATTAGGTAGCGTTTCTGTTCTGTTTGGTCGGACTGAGTGAGTGTTGGTTTCCTGGCCTGGTACCTCTGATGAACTGCTGGTTTCACTAATGTTACACCCTGCCACAGATGCACAGAATCTTCTAAATGCCGGACTTTTGTGTCAGAGGTTGCTTGGTCTCGACTAATAGAGGACATGTAACATCCTGTGTCCTCACTGCAGTGTAGTCTCAGTTTTGAAACAGTGTCAGAATGTGGCATGGCTAAAAGCTGAAAACTGAAGTTATAAATGAATGGATTTTGTTACCCGGTAACTTAAATTTAAATTGTTTTCTGAAACCATGCTGACACCTACCAGTAAATAAAGGAAATGTCTGAAATCTGTTATGGTCAGTGTGACAGCCACAAAAGCTGTCTCGGTACATCCATACTTTACAATTTTAGTGAGACTTAAGCAATTAGCAGCTTGTAAATAAGTGGTGAGGGGGCCAGTAGTTGGTATAACAGTGCCTTTGTGAGACACCAACATGTTTTCTTGTCACAGGTATTTTCAAGAATGGATTCCTTTCTGCTGTGGTTGTGAGATTTCAGGACTGACCATTTCCAGAATGATAATGTTGTGGTATGTTAACTGAACTTATATGAATTTCAGGTGCTTGCTCAGAAACTCTATGAAAAAGATCCTACCAAACTTGGTCAATGGGATGGAGAGAGAGGTGAGATTGTGACCTCACACCCTCTTCCACAAATGAGTGGGGGTGAGACATCATCAGATGAAGGCGAACCTCTGCTAGGATGTCAGAGTCCCCCTAACATAATGCATAGCAGTAGTGCTGGTGTCCAGGAGACCAGTGTCTCAAATCGAGACATTCTGCTGTTACGATCAAGTACTTCTGACAGTAGCTTCAGCAAGCAAGAGTATGAATATGAAAAGAAAGAAGATGCTGGTTCCCTTAGGTAATATACAGAACTGTTCTATGCAGTAGAAGTGACAATTTGTATTATAAATATAGCTCATGTCATTAAAAGTATTTGCTGTTCATAGTTTTGCTTATTCAGGGTCAAACATCCGACAAGACTTTTTGATAAATTCTTTTATTTATTTATTTTTTTTTTTTAATTTCCTCTTGCACATCTTTGAAGCTTTATACAGCATCACTGCATGTAACACATGCTAGCTGTGTTACTCTCTGTTCTAGTCTGCACTCTGCTCCTAGTACAATGCAACCTTGATATAGAAAAAAAGCTTGCTTTAACAGATGTTCATAATATCCAAAAATGGTTAAAATACCTAAGGACAGATCTGACTGATAATGTGTGTATGGCAGTATTTCATCCTTGGAATGCTTATTGCCGGGGGCAGCATTTTCATAATCATTAGCATGATCTGAAATGAAGAGTTAACTTACATAATCTCTTCTAGAGAGAACTGACTGCTAATTAAATGCCGTCCCTTATGAGTGAAAGTCCCACCTACTCTTTGATGCATGCTTGCAAGTCTCATCCACATTCCACACACAAATTGCTGCATGTGCATACATGAGAGATTAACACATCAGATTACAGAGTAACTAGAGTAACAGACAAACACATAATACGTTGAAATCTCACTGATACTTGATGTGTGTGCTTTACAGTATGGGTTCAAAACACCACAGTTGAAATATGCACAAACTTTTTGATGTTACACATGTAAGAAATGGTTGTGAGAAAAACTTGTTGACTCATATTCAAATGGAGTAACAGACCAACATATGATGCAGCTTAAATCTCACTTACAATTCATGTATGTTCATTGCTTCGTGATTTCTCTTCAGTGCTGCATCTGGAATACATGCAACTTTTCAACAGTACATATGTAATGATTGTGAAATAATCATTGTACCTAACTGCCTGACTGTAAAATGCATGTTATGGTAGTTAAACATAAACCACACATGAACCCATAACTTTTTTATTTTCTATCATAATAAAATTATGCTTAATTAAGCTATGAAACTCTTAATGAAAATAACTCTATGACATATGGAAAAGGATCTGTGAGGTCTCAATTCCCACATCCATGATGTAATGCTCGTAGCACAGGTCTGATCTCATTATGTCCATCACACTGTCTCAAACCAAGATGGCTCAGCAGATTTCACCAAGATGTACTAACCAAGAAAGGCGATGGAGAGATGTGTCTTCTAAGATATATCGCCATTTAGGCAGTTACAAGTCGTCCGATGTTTTGGAAGAACATGTCGCCTCCATCTTCAGGGCCAAAGAATAAGTGGTAAGGTCACTCGACTTTCAACGGACTACACAGCATCATATCCAAGAAAATAAAGCTCTTCATAAACACTGCTGTGAGAACGTCAAATCCTACCATGGCAGAGGAAGGCTTCATGTGATGTTTAAAGTCACAACATTTCTGGGTATGGGTAGCATGAAATGGTTTCAAAGTTGGAAAGTTATGACAACTGTCACCAGAAATCAGACAGATTCTGATGAGGGAGAAAACCTTGAACATATATGCACACAGTTATATTCTGGGACTTCTTTCTCAAAGGCCAGTGGAAGGTTTTCTTTTATTGCTAGTAGGGTGGGACTAAGTCCCTTGTGCTGCGACCACTACTGGCCTATTGCACCAGCCCCAGATGATAGGTGAGGGTGATTGTGGCGCAATTGGTGGAATGAAGATTGGCAGGGGAAACCAAAGTACTCAGAGAAAACCTGCCCCAGTGCCACTTTGTCCACCACAAATTCCACTTGACCCGACTCAGGATCGAACCCGGGCGGCTGCGGTGGGAAGCAGTGACTAACCGCTTGAGCTATGGCGTGGCCCAGTGGAAGCTTAGGGGAAGGGCAAATGGTTGCGACAAGAAGGGGATGATATTGTGTGGTGCCTCCATACACTAGCCAAAAAACATGATACACAATGAAATGAGCTACTGGACTCGTGAGGAAGTTCAGAGGGTATCATATGATGTGCATATCTTAGTGGTTGAAACTTGGTGGGGATAGGGAGGGTAGGTTAACAGGACCTTTTCTGACTGCTAGCCATAAACAGCTTTAGAACCTGGTACAAAATTTATGAGAAAACAGTGGCAGCTGGTTACAAATTAGTCATTTTGATGGAGTAGAAAAAAAAACTTGTTTTGTAACACTAAAAACCTGACATCTCAAATAGTTTGGTTACCATAATGATGTCCTCATCATAACCGATACTTGCTTTAGCATGGATTTACTATATACGAGGTTCTATCAGACTTGGTTTTAAGTTGGCTGTCCAATACCATATTGCACCATGCTGTTGTACTGGCAAACAGTAGCAAACACAGTCCTCCCAAAAGAAAGATAGCAGTGGTATTGATGTTACTGAAGTGCACAAGCTGTGATGGAGAAAAGAATAATATATAATTCATTAGAAGGGTACATACATACAGGTAGATTCTAAAGGTTTCCGATGATGATGTGTAGCACTCAGAATTACTGGGTTTATGGACATTGTCCATCGTCCTGTGTCCTAAAACCTAGGGAACACGGTGTTTTGGAAACTAGATCTGTTTCCATCCTCAGGTGAGGAGGAAACACGTAGTCTGCTGGATCCTTCAGAAAGAGCTAACTCAATCACTTGACAACCTACGTCATTGTAACTGCAGCTATATAAATACCTGAGGCCAGGTTTTGTTGAATGGAGAAAACAGGAAAAATGTACAATAAAAATTGTGATAAAGCATGCGCAGATAGAAGATAGAAAGATAGAAAAGGAGTTGACAGTTTTTTGCAACAAACCAAGTCCATGAAGGTAAGGTCCATGTTTGTGCCCCGTATGTAGCAACAGGTCTTATTAATGTTTTGTGTGCTTGTAGCTTAGCTGCTCTTGATATTGTTTTACTTTTAAGTGTACTAAGATTTGGAAGGTAAGCCCTGTTTCCGGTTTGTATCCTTTCATTAACACAGTTATTATTTCTATTGCCATTATTGATCATATTTCCTAAATATTTAAAACTACTCAGTCCCGTAAATAATTTCTCTTCTACCTTTCAATCTTGTGGATTACTTCTACTTTCTGATGTTGACATAATTGTGTATTTTGTTTTTCTTTCATTTACTTCTAATCCTATCTTCCCTGCTTTTTCTTCCATTTTCTTATATACTCAATTATCTTTTCTCTGGATCTAGCTGTTATGACAATGTTATCTGCATATGCACATATTTGGCTTGATTTTGTTTAACTTGTTCCTCTCTGATCAGTACTGTTACACTGTCTAATGCCATTATGAATAGTACTGCTAATAAATCATCCCCTTGCTTAACTCCAGCATTAAATTCAAATTTTGCACTTCGTGTATTATTCATTGTCATTCAAGTTAGTCTAATTAATTTATCTGGTGTTTTCATCTGTCTCATTGCTTCATAGAGTCTTTCTCTGTGAACTCTGTTGAATGCTCGTCTAAAGGTCTACAGTAACATATGCAAGTCCTGTATTCATAATATTTTTCCATCATTTATCTTATTACAAAGAGTTGGTCAGTTGTACTTATACTTGGGCGAAATCCACATTGACACTCTCCAATGATCTGTGCCCACACGCTAGCTAACAAAATCAAAGTTAAAACAAGTAAAGAAATACTCCATATCATCAACAAAGAACCATACAACAAGAAATGGTCAGAAATAGGAAAACTCTGGGAAATTAACAGCAAGAAACCCAGAAAAGAAACTGCTGCAAATTTTTGATCGAATAGAGGACATGACTGCCTTGCAGCACATCTTTGTAATATAGGAATATGTAACACAGAAGACTGTACACTGTGCAACTTCCCAGGATCATCTATGGGAAAAGAACGCCTTCAATGCCCTTATCTTAAGAAGGAGATGGAACAAAGCAAGAACGTGAGTGCTCTATTGGGAAGCAAGAAGCAAAATGGGTTAAATGATCCCAAATGCAGCCACTGGAAACCAACTAACTAACTCTCCAATGATCTTTTTGGTTATCATCTTTAGCCATCAATTTATTACACTACATACCAGGAATTAAATAAATAATTTTCCTCGGGAGTAAAGCGTGGCCGGCGTGTAAGGCTGACAACCTTACCGCCATCTTTGAGCTGACTGTCAAGGTAATGTGGGACCCTTAACGTGGGATAGCTTTACTTTATTTTTTTAGATAATATCTTATATGCTACGTTCGATAATGTGATTTCTCTATAATTTCCACATTCTAGTTTATCTCCTTTTTTTTTTTTTTTAGAATGGGGCATATGATTCTTGTATTCAAACTTTGTGGCATTTCTTCTATTGTCCATATCATTGTGATTAATTTGTGCATGGCGTTTGTTATTCCTTCTCCTCTGTACTTAATTGATTCTGCTGTTGTATCATCATCTCCTGGTGCTTTATTAGTCTTTATTTTTTGAATACATTATTCTATTTCCTCACATACTGATGTATTTACCTCTTTGTCTTCTTCTATTACTCTTCTTCCTGTTCTTATTTCTTCTTGGTTGTTTTCATTCCTATCTCTTTCTTCATCTTCTACCTATTGCCCTGTTAAATTTTCTTCTCTGATTCTGATCTTTAAATTTATTTACTTCCTCTAACTGTTTCCTCATTCTTTCCTTTTTCTTCTTTCTACATATTCTATTTGCTTTCCTTCTTAATTATTGATATTTTTCACAGTTTGCTCTTGTTTCTCTTTGTAGCATTCTTTTTCGAGCATTGTTCTTATCTGATTTTACTTTTTCACACTCTTCATCGAACCATTCTTTATTATGTTGATTTTCTTCTTTGCCCACTGTCTCATCTACTACTTCCTTTATTACTTTTTCAATCCTCTTCCAGTTTTCTTCTACATTTCCTTCTTTGTATTCTCTTATTTTCTCTTCAATTTTCCTCTGATATTCTTGTTTTATTTCCTTGTTTTCTTGTAGTACAGTTAAAACATACTGAATATAAAATCAAAGACAGATCAATATGAGAACATGGGAGTATACTGACTTAAATGTGTAGACTGCAAAAAGCCCTAGATTGTACTGGTGGGAAGTTCAATAAAAGTTGGAGCCAAAAAAATATATACAGGGTGTCCCAGGAGGAATGGACCAAACTTCGGGAGGGTGTTCCTTATGTTAAAGTATGCCGATATAACCCAAAACACCTATGTCCAAAGTTGAACGGTTACGGAGATAATGGCCCGAGAAAAGTGTGGTCTTCTAGCGGGTCTACGGACTATACCTATCAGCTGAGAGGCCTTATCTGTGTTTGTCCTTCAGTGCCGTGATTCACCCTAGCCGTGCTTATGTAGTTGGCTTTATCAGAACTCGCAGTCAGTACGTTACGTCAGCGCTTGCCATTCATGTGTCATGTATAGTGCTTGGAAACCCTAAGGACAATTATGACATGGCGAGCGAGTATTTTGTACTTCAATTTTATGGCTTCATGTCACTCACAAGTTAGTGTTATGTTACGTACATTATTAACACTACAGAATCCACATATTCCTGCCAGTTTTAATATGTATTTTGTAATCAACAAGTGTGCAACGCCGGTCAAAGTTTCACACTTCTCTGGCCATTATCTCCGTAACCGTTCAACTTTGGACATAGGTGTTTTGGGTTATATTGGCATACTTTAACATAAGGAACACCCTCCCGAAGTTTGGTCCATTCCTCCTGGGACACCCTGTATATATAAGAAGTATCAGGAATAAGAATGAAGAAACAATATTCACTATGCACATCTTACATGTACCAACATGTCAAAATAGAGGACATCATGGATATAGAAGATCATGTCATAGAAGGCTAGATAATGAATAATAAAGACAATTTCTACATTTACATATATGAAAAATTGAACTTATTAATAGAAGAACATAAACCTGAAGAGAAAAACAACCCATTTGACATAGCTATCGCATATGCATGCACCACCAAATACATAAAATACAGTGCAAACCAAATCATACATTAATCACAGAACCACAAGGCAACACACAGAATATAGAGATCATGCACAACAAGGACAGCAGGTATGAAACTTAACAGAATTCACATCAAAATAACTGTAATAAAATCTATGTTATAATTGCAGAAATACCACTGAAAACCATATGTAACATCTGTATACAGCAGAAATAACAGATAACAGCAACCAAGAAGAAAGTACAACAGCGGCTATACCTCATGTTCTATAACGATAATTTTGTAATATTACACAACAGTTTAAGATACTATAATTTTAAAGCACTGCCTCTTAATATGTGCCTCCTGAAGATGACTCATATGGGCTGAAACATGTAAAAGCAGTAAACTGAATTACTTCATGCATGTTACACTAGATGGTGCTGTCCTCATGAAGATCATTATTAATACAAGCATAAACAGTTTCTAAGTTACATATCAAAATATGTCAGTTAACCTTTTAAGACTTTGGGGGGGTGGGGGTGAGATATACTACACTGTGGGGGGTTCAATCATTGAAGCTTCCCAAGCAGTGACTGCTCATCCTTTTGTCAAAGTTACAGGTATATTGGAGAGAGGGTAAATATTGGGACATGAAGAATGCCAAGTTTCGAGAGAGAAAGAGGACAGGGTATTTACTACACTAAATAAGAATGAGCATTAGCAGATCTGTATTAGAGTAAAATTTTGATGTTACCATTGGGAGGGCTGCGTGTGAAGCATGCAGTGCAACATGTAATTGGGGTACCAACTCTGCATTTGCTCTAGGATGCAGGAAACGAATGGAAAACACTGACTGAGTCAGCCAGTCACAGGACCTTCCAGAAGCAAAGTGACTTCTAGGCGTCAGTTCAGCACACTTTCAGCTTGAAATCCAATTTAAAAATATTAAATAAAAAAAGAGTCAGTTTGTGCCTTGCAGAAAACACATAGCATCTCCATTAAAATTATTGGTTAATTACCGCTATGAATTATAGGGAAATTATCAATATTTTCTTGAAAATCTGTTTGTTAAATGTGGAGGTTTTTAATGTTAAGGCAGGTGATGCATATGCTTTAAAGCATTTCTGTTGGTTCTGATGGATGACTTCCATCTTATATCATATACCAAATTCATTTCTTTTTCTCTGCATGGGAAGTACAAGTCTTCCTCGCAGTTCTGACAATTTGATGTCACTGGAGATAACATTTTTACACCGATGTGGGGACATGTTTCACCCTCCCTCTTTTAACTTGGGGATGGCATGACCATGGCTCTGTCTGTGTATTAAGGGATTTTTGTCCCAACTGCTGGTATAGTAAAACTGATCTCTAATGGAATCCCAGTGGATTGCAATTTTCCATTACAGGCAGGATTATGTTTTATGTGTATGTATACAATTCTTTTTTGGGCTATATTGTATATTAAATTAAAGTGTAAAGCTGTCCCTGTGTTTAATTAAGCACAATGCCATGAAAACATACCAGGGAATGGAAGTATAGCTTCACCATTCTTCACCTCAGTGCTAGATGGAGGTGAGTGGTCAGCTTCAGGCCCCAACTGCTTTACCCGCGGTACACATTGGATATGAGGCTGAGTGGGACCCAGAGCCAGTCTGGATGCTGTGGAGAAAAGAAAAATCTTGCTGCACCAGGAATCGAACCCAGGCCTTTGAGCATGTAGTCCCTCACTATACTGACTCAGCTATCCCAACTCCAAATTAAGGATTATTGTATGGATAATCCCCATCTATTTATTGATGATGTAGGAATTGATGGCACCCCTTCAACTGCGTGATTCATAATTGTATATTTTCAATGAGGGGCTACAGGCTAGACGGCCTGGGTTCGATTCCTGGCAGTACAAGATTTTTCTCCCCTCCACAGTGTCCAGACCGACTCTGGGGCCCACCCTGCCTCCTATCCAGTGGGTACCTTGGGCTCTTTCACCAGGGGTAAAGTGGCAGGGGCTTGGAGCTGACCACTCTTCTCCATCTAGTGCAGAGGTGAAGCAAGATGGAACTATACCTCCACTCCCCCATATGTCTTCATGGCATATTGCTTAACTAATTGAGCACAGGGTCAGCTTTACTTTTTATAAATATAACACAGTATTACATTAATATATATATATTTGGTCTGTTTAATTTTTATGAGGGATGTTTGTAAACCTGGTAAACAGCTGTGTTCAGCTTGTTTATCCATCAGAAATTGGTACACTGGTTTTTCCAGACCAATAAAAGTGAAAATGTTCACACACTTTGTACAGTTATGTATTAGTGCTGTATGTTTTCTTAATGGTCCACCAGTGAATGAGCCCAAAATGTTAGTGCTTTGCCTGTATTCTCCAACTTGCTTACTTTAAAATAGTGCAGTAATGAGTTCTGCACGTAATTTTTTGATGAAGGGGTACAGGGGCAGATGATGTGAATTCCTTAACAATCTCATATGATGAGTTTATGGCAGCTTAAATTTACCCAACATGTGCCTTGGCATTTGTTTGAGTTGCCATTGTAGTTGCATGCTGTTTTGTCAGGTTTCCAAGGAATGGGAAGGTGCTCTTTGTTATTGCTCTTATCCCAAGTGATCACATATAGATATGGCATAAAAAGACAGCGAGTTTGTTTTATTATTTCCTCCCCCTCCATCCTTTTATATTTCTTTTTCCTCTTCTCCATATTTTTCTTTTAATTTTCCTTTTCTTCCTACTTCTACTTTCCTTCTCTTTCTTTATCTTTACCCCTTCATCTTCTCCTTTTGTCTCCCTCTTTCCTCTTTGTTCCATTCATTCCCTTCCACATAGTCCTTCATATCTTCTTTTTTATCTTCTTCACTCCTCCCTTTTTTCTTCATCCTCTTTCACATTTTCCATTTTATTCATATTTCTGTCATGACCGTCACAGTTGTGCGTTTAGAGTCTGGAAGGGTTAAAATACTGTGGTTTGCTGCCTATGCTGTGATTTCGGAAGGAATGATATTGTGTCAATGACCTATCATGCATAAAAATGACACATCCAAATAATTATCAGATATAATAAGAAAGAATAAAATACATTTGTATAGGAGTGCTTTTACTTCACATCAAATGATTTAATAAAGGTTTCTCATGTCATAAAACCATACAGGAAAAGTATTAACATTCCTCTTCTATATTTTGCGTTTTTATATCTTTTACTTTCAAAACAAAGAATTCTGCTTGTCAAAATATGGAGAAGCTATCCTATTTCACCACCACTTCCAATATCCTCAGTCTTGGCAAATCTTTGTAGTAATTTATGTCACTTTAGATGGGCAGAATGCGTGGCACATAAGGGAGGAAATGAGATATGCACACAAAGTTTTGGTAGGAAAATGGCAGTGTAAGAGATTCTTTCAGATACCTGTGAAGGAGACAGGATAATGTTACAGTTGGATGAATTGTGGACTCAGGATGGGGTACAGTGTGGGCCTTTTGTAAAAATGGTAATGAATGCTTGGGTTCCTTCAAAGCAGAGAATTTCTTGACCATTTTGATTGACTACCGCCTTCTCAAGAAATCACAGTACCTATTGAGATTTGCTGTAATTTGTATTCCCTTATCTTTGTTTTGTTTCAGTAGAGACCCTAGTTACAAACAAGATATGAGGAAGGATGGTGTTTTGAACCAAAGCCCACCAAAACTCTGTATTTCCACTGAAAGCCTTGAATCACCTGTCTGTGACACCAGGGAATTTGTTACCAACTGCAGTGCTTCCAAAAACCCAACTTCTACCTACCAACAAAACACAAGTGACACAAATGCTTCTGAGTGGAATAATGGCTTCAGCAGAACTCAAGTAAAGACAGTCTGTGCCCCTCTGAAACAGTTTAACCATCATGATTCAGACAAAAAAGATACTGTTGGTCATGTGTCTGAGGTAGTTGGGAATAAAGGTCATGATGGTCGGCTGCCAGACTGTGGCATGGAGGGAAACCAAAGCAAGGAAGAACCTTTGAATATAAGACAGAGGGATGACAGCGGTAATGTCCAGCCACCAGAGGATGCGGACTATGAAGATGCGTCTGATGGAGACAATGTAAGTGATAATTTGATTTCTAACCATGTTTAACATATACTGAATAAGTTTAAGAGTTGGGAATTTATGCTGAACATGTACCCTAATGTGATGCTTAATGTAAGATTAAGACCATATGGAACTTTGATTCTTTACCTTTATGCAGCTGTATTTTCACATTCTGTTTGATGCTTTAACTGTAACGTATCACTTTACTTCAAGTTATTAGTGGCTTAAATAAACGTTGAATGTAAATATAAAATATCTGATACAGCATTTGATGTATTAAACACTTTGTTCAGTAGCAGATATTGTCCAGACTTATGTGAAATTTTTGCTTATGCAATTTCATGTGTTATTTTAATTTTTAGTGAGGACTGAAACAGTACATCCACAGTAGCTCAGGATTATATGGACTCTTGTCAGTACATCCACAGTAGTTCGGGTTTGTCTGGACTCTGTTAGTACACTGCCGTAGTTCAGGATTGTCTGGACATTTGTCAGTACATCCAAAATAGTTCAGGTTGTCTGGACTCTTTGTTAGTACATTCACAGTAGCTCAGAATTGTCTGGACTCTTGTCAGTATATCCACAGTAGTTCAGGATTATCTGGACTGTTGTCAGTATATCCACGGTAGTTCAGGATTATCTGGACTCTTGTCAGTATATCCACAGTAGTTCAGGATTATCTGTACTCTTGTCAGTATATCCACAGTAGTTCAGGATTGTCTGGACTCCTGTCAGTGTATCCACAGTAGTTCAGGATTGTGTGGACTCTTTATTAGTACAATCCACAATAAATCAGGAATTTTTGGACTGTTGTCAGTACATACACAGTAATCTGATAAAGTAATACTTGAATGAAAATTTACTTTTATTTTCAAAAATATTTGAGACTACCTATCTGAAGATATTATCAAAGTTTGAGATTTGGTGCCCCAATTTCATTATCACTGCAGGTCTCTTAAGTTGCCATTATGTTCATTGTTACTGATGTGTACTTCTTGATGGTTTATTAGGATGGTGGCCAAAACTCCACGTTCAGCTGTTCAATCTGCAAGCAGACATTTCCTAACTTAGGAGCTCTGCAGGTCCATTTGTTTGTCGAGCATGACTCGAGCACAGACATGAATGAGGATGCTTCACAGTCCACTGCTTCCAGTACCACAACTTCAGACAATCCTGTCATGCTCACATCAAAAGTGCCAACATTACATAAACAAAAATTAAGCATACCAATGCTTGTTTCAGCTGATGAAATGAGCAAAGGTTTGACTGTGAACTATCTAAGTCAGTTTCGTAAAAGGCCTTCCATGACAGACAGTGGTAAAGAAACACAGGACTTCAGTTTCCATGGACCATTTTCCAAAAGGCCTACACCTGATCACCAGGATTTCAAAGTATCCAGTCCTACCAATATGCCCAAAATGGATGAAGGTGAATTTGAAAGAAGAGGCAATCTTAACGGTGAGAGTGACTCTTTGAACCTCGAAACTAGAGTAATGGCAGCAAGTGGTAGTGATTCAGAAAGTACATTCGCAACTTCTGATAGGTACCGGGTGACTTTAAAGGATGGCTTTAGGAGATCAGAATGTAAATCAGTAACTAATATGGATGCATCAGTAAAAGAGAGTGACAAAATTCAGAACACAGCAGTGGAAGGCTCAGATTTTGAAAAGGACACTGACATACATTCGAAAGGAAAAGTGACAGAAGAGGATACAGAAGGTCTTCATGTTTCAGTAGCTGAAGTGGCAGAAACGTGTGTTACACTAAGTGATTCAAATATTCAGTGCCAGAAGTCGGAAACTAACATCGCTCAAACAGAACTAAAGGTGTGCAGTTCCGACAAATTAAGACAACACAATACAGATGAAAGTGCCAAAAGTGATCAGCCTGCCAGAAGGGATAACTGTGAATCATCAGATAGTAGACAGTCACCAACAAGTGAGCAGCAGAAAGGGGACAGTAGTGCTCCAGAAAGCCACCAGACCAAGCACAACTGTGATCTATGTGGAAAAGTGCAATCAAGCCAGGAATCTCTTCAAAAAGTATGTTAAACCAAATAACACTTTGAGTACCAAGATTCACATCAATGAAATCTGAAGAAGTCAGAGAGGACTTGTTGAGCTTTGCCAACTGACTCTGTCAGAGGCAAGTCCTCTTCACCCCTCAAAACATGCTTATATTGAGGGTGTTTTGGCTCATTTTGTAAGATAAATCATATCCGTTTATCTTACTTCTTTGCTAACTGCGAAAAAGTTTCTGTCACATGCATACAGTGACTAAAAACTGGAGAATTATATATACAGGGTGTCCCAGGAGGAATGTGTCAAACTTCGGGAGGGTGTTCCTTATGTTAAAGTATGCCAATATAACCCAAAACACCTATGTCCAAAGTTGAACGGTTACGGAGATAATGGCCAGAGAAGTGTCAAACTTTGACCAGGGTTACACACTTGTTGATTACAAAATACATATTAAAACTGGCAGGAATATGTGGATTCTGTAATGTTAATAATGTACGTAACATCAAACCAACTTGTGAGTGACGGAAAGCCATAAAATTGAAGTACAAAATACTCGCTCGCCATGTCATAATTGTCCTTAGGTTTCCAAGCACTATACATGACACATGACTGGCAAGCGCTGACGTAACATGGCTGACTGCACATTCTGGTATAAACAGACTACATAACTGTATTAAACCTACATTCACGGAAAATCTCTTTTGGAATTTCGTTTCCATTATCTCATGTGGATTATTATGGGACCACGTATGCACATTTCGTAAATTATTTACATTGTCCAGGGTAAAAGACGCCTCATCACTAAATAAAATGATGCTTAACAGTTCGGGATGAGCTTTTATCCAGTGGCACAAATCCATACGCTGTGCATGGCTGCCTGGTTCCAGATGTTGTACCCTTTGATCAAGGTAAGGATACAACTCTTCATCATGTAAAGTTCGCCACACCTGCATACGTGATACGCCGATGCGAGAGGCCATTCTACGAGTGGACAGACACAGACTTCTCTGAACCATCTCGTTCTCTCGTGTGTTTATCATTCATACATCCTCCCTTTCAGAGTGCACAGAAACACTCGGAAGAGAACCAGTATCACGCGATGTCTGGTGAATTCGTGTAAATACACTTCGAGATGGAATCATTTAATCAGGAAAACGCCTTTGGTATTCTTCAACAGCAGCATGTGCATTGCCACCGCAAAATCCACACACAAAATGCATATCACAATATTTCATGTGTGAAAACACAAGGGGCATTTCAGCAACTCCACACAACTAATTTACCAACCATTCATGACGCTGCCGCAATGTACTCTGTAGGTAACACATGAGCTTACGGCTAGTGTGAATCACCACACTCAAGGACAAACATAGATAAGATGTCTCAGCTGACAGGTATAGTGCGTGGACCCGCCAGAAGAAGACACTTTTCTCAGGCCATTATCTCCATAACCATTCAACTTTGGACATAGGTGTTTTGGGTTATATCGGCATACTTTAACATAAGGAACACCCTCCCAAAGTTTGGCACATTCCTCCTGGGACACCCTGTATATATATTTATAATAATAGGAAATAGTGAGAAATGGTGGATAACAGGGATAGATGTTCTTCAGATTGTCATGTTAAATTCTGCTAGGTTCTGAGGTTTTCATGAGAGTGATTTTTCAGATTGTGGTCTCCTGGCTTGTGACATCATGCAGTCTTGTAGGCAGATACAAACTTTTCAGAGCGTCATGCCACCTGCACCTTTAGGTATTGGCCTACAGAACTCCATGGTGTCACAACCCAGAGAACTCACTGGTTTATAACACCACTGAGTTACTCAGACAGTGAAGTAAGACATGCAGAGTTTTAGATTAGTGTTTTATCACATTAGTTTTGTACAGCTCTTCAGTGCCTAAAAAATACCAGAAGCTAAAAGTAAAACAAAAAGATTTTGTATGGTAATGAGGTAAAAGGGTTATTCAAACTAGAGCTGAAACCCTAGGATAAGGCTTGAGAAATACAAGGGAATTCCATTAACCACTGAACACTGATGGATACGCTTGCATTATGGTTCATACACACATTTTTATAATTCTGGAGGGAGGGTCCAGGATATGTTTGCTTTCTGTGTCAGAATCATAGTATGCACAGTAGCTACAAAAGGAATAACACCCAAATTAAGAAATTAAAGTTTACTAATGAAATTAAGAGAAAAAGAGGAAACATTGGGAATGAGGATTCAAATCATATCCAGTTTCATAGTATCATGAGTCTTCTCTGTTAGGCCCATGCTAGGGAATATGAAAGAGAGGAAGCAGGAACAAGACTTGATGTTGAGATCATGGGGCCACAGTAATAATCATTTCATCTGTTTCATGTACCTCACACACAGTGATATTCTCATGTTTCTTAATTACCCCTTGATAGTTCACAGTTTCCAGGTGTACGAGGGCTTCTTAGGCCCTTCACAGTGTTGTCTTTATGTTTGCATAATTCTACTTCATCTCCTCTTTGTCCCAAATATGATCATGCAGAGAAGGATTATCGGTTTCAGTTCCACAGTGCATTTAAAAAAATGAGTTCTGAGTCACCAGAATCTGTCTCCAGAGCAGAGACCAAGTAGTTAATTGTGTTTAGGGAAATAATCGCTGTATATTTGTAGAATTGTACAAACCCCATAAATACACTCTGAGGCCAAAATGTTAAAGCAGATGGTACATATATAGTTACTACTGTGCTTTAAAACAGTGTTTCCCGACTGAAACTGTACTGTAAACTGCTAAAATATCTAATTTATCTACCATGGACTGTTAAAATTATCACTGATGTTGACCTCCTGATGTGAGGGGGGAAGAAACATTGCATTTATGTTACACACACTATGTGTACCAAGCCTGCAATGCGGGGTGTTGGTTGTAAACACAATCATCTTTTTCCGATAGTTAAGAGAGAAATATTGGTAGTAAAATTGTTTGCACAGGTAAAAATTTGCTGCAGACCAGTGCCAGTCTGTGGGCCAGCTGTTGAATAACACCGTTTAGAGGGTTGTACAGGGTGATTTAAAGCTTTAGCATGATGCTCGCTGGGAGGTGGTTGTTTGGGAGATCAGTTGGAGTTGAAAATGTAAATAAAGTTGTTTCCATATTCATCTCCATTTTGGAGTTTCAACATGTTTACAGTTATCCTGCAACCTCACAGCCTGTTGTCATCAGATTTCTTCTACAACAGGAGTGTTTCAGAATGCAGTACAACATACTGTGTGTGAGAATCAGTTGTATCTTTTCCATATACAGCCAGTACAAGTGTTGCAGTCAGGGGACAAGCATCTCCAGCTCCCATTCCTGTGATTGCTCAGCAAGAGTGTGGGCACCCCCAGTTTTTGTACCATGCGTTGTGGACTGACAAAGCAGTATTTATAGGCGTTGTGCTCAATCTACACAACTTTCATGCATTAGCAATGGAAGATCCTCACACCACTCATCAGTCCTAACTCAAGTAAATATTTAATGGCAACATCTTGGTCAGAATCATAGATGATTACATAATCAGGCCATATGTAATACAAGGAGCACACTTCACTGAGTCTCTTGAAGAACAGATGTGCCTCTGTATTTGCACTAGAGCATGTGGTTTCAGCATGGCAGTGCCACTCCCCACTGCACGTTGATTGTGCACTTGGCTTCACATCAGCTTTCTGGACAGATGGACTGGGCATGGAGGTCTGATTGCCTGGCCTTCATGCTGTCCTGATCTGACACCATTAGATGTGTATTTGTGGGGATGCCTGGAGGAAGAAGTTCATGTAATGGAACTTTAGGATCATGATGATCTAATTAATTGCATTGAGGTGGCTCCTGCAGATGTTAGGAATCTGTGAGGCCTCTATTTGGAAGGAGGTACATTCAGTGTGCAGACAAGTCCCCACCACGTGATCAGAATGTCCTCACAAGTGAGGATGGAAAAATTCTACCAAGGACAGAATTTGTGTCCTCCTTTCTTTAGTTGCAAACAAGGAGATCACGTGACATTCTGTGTTAAAAGAATTGTTTCCATTTTTAAAAAATAGACGATCACAATTATACAAGGAGACAGCAAGTAAAAACATCTCCTTAACAGTGGGAAATCTGGGGGGGGGGATTATTTACATTTTCAACTCCAGCTGATCTCCTCAATTACCTCTGTAAGTTTTGCACCAGAACTTTGAATTGCCCTGTATATGTTGTAAGTAAATCATTAAGAGTGGTCTTCCTTCTTAGCCACATTAGTAACCCTGCAGGGTGCCTATTTAATTCACGCAGTCTGTGTGTCCACATCGGGCTGTATATATACATAAACAACACAAGAACCTCTGGACAGATTTTTTGGAAATTTTTGTACTACAGAGAATCTTATAAAAACGGTAGAGCCATTTCAGTTTTCATATAGATGAAATAATTTCAATCATCATTTGCATTTTCTTTGTGTGTCTTGTCTTGTTGAGCACAACTTGATAAATATTAATCACAGCAAAAAATGCATGGAACACCTGTTGTAGAGAAAAATGGCAGACAAGTTTTATTTTCAGTAAAAATTTTCGGTGAAATCATACAGATTTTGAGATAAATCAGATGCTGTGCATACATTTCCAGATTTCCATGTACAGCAATACCTCACATAGTCCAGCTTTGATCAGTATGGATTCACTATAGTCCAGTTTGAAAATTTCAAAACAAACTAAATTTTAATTGAGCAAAATAAAAATAAATTCTAAAAAATTAGTACACAAAATTATATTTAATACCTAAATTATCGTTTTTTTTCCCTTTATACAATCCAGTCTCTTTATGTACGGTTTATTTTTATGTAGTTTTAAAGTTATGCGATACAATACATATTTCAATTTTTTCTGGAGTTCCCTGTTGTACATGCTCGGGTCGTTCGTTCTTCAGCTCTGACAGCTATCGTTGGAGGAGGTGGGGAGAGCACTACATTAACGGAATTTTGGAAGAGCTACAATAACAGAAACGTTATCGAAAATATAGGCGAAGCATGGCGTGAATTAACGGCAAGCAATATGAGGGCAGTATGGAAACATATCTTACCACATTGTGCAAATTATTTCATTGGTTTTGAAACTCATTTTGCTGAAGTCACTAATAACATAGTGGAAATTGGACAGCAACTTGGTTTCAATGAGTTAGATTCCGTCAACATAATTGAGTGCATCAAATCGAACGCTAATGAACTGGATAATGAAACACTTATTAACATAGATGAATGACGGGCTTATGAAGAATGGGAGGAAAACTTAGATGATGATGACTGTGTTGAAGAGCCTGCACGAGAATTAACAGCTGAACAGCTACAGGAGGATCCAAAAAAAATTTACTCACTCTTTGATAGTCAATATCTTTGGAACAAAATGACATGTAGTTACAATTCTTGCGCAGTAGTGTAGTGTAATGTTTTCTCAACAGATGGTGAAGGTCACATGAGTCATGTGAGTGTCATGCCGCGTGCAACAATGGCTGAAAGGTTGTTCTTTGAGCAACGCAAGGCTGTATTGAAGTGGTACTGGAAGTACGGAAACATTAAAGAGGTACAAAGACAATGGCAGAATGAGTTTGGAACTCGGCCACCAACAGCTCCTGTAAATCCACACGTTCATGTGGACAAGGAAGTGAATCTACTGGCTGTTAATGTGTGGTGTGGTCTCATTGCGCGGTTTGATTGGTCCTTTCTTCTTTGAAAGTACCGTAACTGGTCAGGTGTATCTCGATATGCTTCAGACATCGATTTTCCCGGCCATTCGAGAGCTGTTTGCAGATGAGAAATTTTACCTACAACAAGATGGTGCTCCACCTAACTACCATCAAGATGTCAGGGCATACTTGGATGACACTACCTGGACAATGGATAGGTCAAAGAGGTGCTATTGAGTACCCACCACGGTCTCCAGACCTAACACCTCTCGACTTCTACCTATGGGGAACCTTGAAGGATGAAGTTTATCGACAAAAGCCAACTACACTGAATGCGCTACGAGAAACCATCGAAGCATTGTGTGCAGCCATCACACTGGACACACTGACAGCCGTAGTTCGCTCAGCAGTTTGGCGGCATCGACACTGTTTAGCTGCTGATGGTGGTCACTTCGAACACATACAATGACTCTCTCTCTCTCTCTCTC